TGGAGATCCTCCACGGCCGCTTCCCCAGGGCATCGGGCGACAGCTGGGCACTACATCCTTAACTCGGGCAGGAGGTTCCTCCCCTGCCCTTAACCATATCGCAACTTCCTCCGCCCGCTCTACAGCCCTTTGCCCATCTCCAGCGGGGCGCCGGTATCTCACCCGGGCTTCTGCCGGTCCGTGGAGACGTCTCCGTCGGGTACTCTCCTCTGCCGGGCAACTCGGTACGTCGAGACTATCTCCCCACGGCAGATTCGAGCACTTCGACCTCAACTAAACAATATCGAATTCTTACGAGAGCCTTGACATAACTGTACGAATCAACCCGAGAGCGTAGTTTCTGAGCAGGGTGGCGACCCGATGAGAACCAGAAATCGAGAACGTTATCTGTATTGGTAACCGGAGCCGCCTTGGGACCGTGATTCGAAAAATCACGTCACAATACATATATTGTGACGTTAAAACCCGCGTCACAAAGTCTCGAGCGTAGAACTAGTGTGTTTCAAGCACGGGACGAATTACCGTCCTTCGGAAAAGTCTCGAAAAGTACCGAACAGGAACTATAGGGTCCAAGATTGTATTATAGTAGCCTAAGATTAATTATTTTGTTCCGTACAACTATTTCATGCGTTCGCATTCGGCCACCACAGCCATCACCGTTTCACCGAGGGAGTAAAGAGCAGCCACGCCACGTGGGACCGTTAGCCGCAGTCTCGAAAGAAGGAAATAGCCATCAGTCCCGCGAGAGAATGTGGAGACGCATCATACCTCCAGGCGCGTCCACACCGCAGCAGACGGCTCCCAAATCGCGTAAGGAGCTAATGCAGCAGAAGACATCACTGGATCATGCCGACCTAGCAGTATCGCCGGTACTGACGTCTCGCGTAAGGAACGACACCATTACCGAAGAAGATGGAGAGCTCTGGAAGCTGTCCAGGTGCAAGGGATCGCTACCCTCTACCACCTATCTGTCCCGACAGGAGTCTGGACAAGAACTAACTCCGGATGAAAGATTCGGATAACCCTAGCCACGGCAACGATTTATGACATCCCGAAGAGTTCCGAGTCCCGCGAACAAGATCCGTCACGAGGACTAGGACTAAGAATTAACTAACGGAACCGTTCTCCTGAGTATGGAATTGTATCGTTTACAAGAGGTGATGCTTAGATGCGCACAAACCCAACTGGATACAAATGCGAATTTCTGCGTCCTGAGCGATATTCCACCAGCAATTCAACGATATTGTAAGTTATCTTTACCTGACGGAGCCTTTTCAAACATTTAATGCTCTCTTCAGTCGATATACTTATTCACTAACCTACCCGGTATCCAAAATTTGAACATTCCACTCTATCCTAACCTTACCTAACCAAATCTAGCGTAAACTAATATTAAATCACATACAATATACTATAATAAGACATCGTTCGTACCTAAATCTATTCCATCTATCTAAAAGTATACAGAATTTGGAGTAAAAAGTCATTTGTATCCAATTGGTCTGTGCGCCAGTGAGTCCTCCCCGATCCGGCAGTATACTCGTATTCGCACATGGGGGCTCCTGAAAGAATTCCGCTTGCTTGTGCAGAAACAAGAATCCGTAGCACCGTTACTTCATCATTCCACAAACAATATAAGTACCGTCAAGAACACGGTTAAACATTATAAGATCTTAAAAGGTTCAGGACAGCCTCACTAGTGATTGAACTCATTTCCGCCGAACAGCTATTCAAAATTCGCATAATTAACTTTTTTAAAGATCACTTAATTAAGACTCCTTACTTAATCCGCACTAGCGAGTACGACGACTACCCTAGAAGACTGCTGCCCCTAAAGGAAAACGGTAAAACATAAAAGAGAACTTTTTGTAAAAAAAAACGTTTCAATAATAATTATTTTTTATTATTTTGTTAACTTTTTCTTAAATGTGAATAAAAGAATCCATTTATCAATGATAATTAGAAGAAGAAAAAAGTCACTGGCGAGATTCGAATCCGCAATCTAGTAGTTACCACTCTGAGCAGTCAGCGTTCTCGGCTATGGTTTAACTTTTGCCGCACCACTTCTTCGATCTCCTAAGTGAATCTCGAGAAAGACTGAATATAGCATCGTACTGCTTCATCTTACATCTTTTGTGGTGATCGTTCACCTCAAAGAGTTTGATCGAAATCGATGACCCACTCACTTGGGGTTCTCTTTCTTACCACAAGCAGCGGTATGATAGACAACAGCAGGTATTTATCACTAAGGAGAGACAAAAGGTAAGAAAAGGAGAGGGAGAGAGCAAGTATTCCTTACATTCTATCGAGTATGTTTTATTAGGTATTGAAATCCATAATGTGATACTAATGTTTATCTAATATTGAATAAAAGATATAATTACAAATCTTCGTTGGTTACAAATTCGTATATCATAATAAACCTTTTACTTGACTCTGAAGTTTCACCCAATCAACTATTCTCTGAGATATTTTCTTTTCTTGTAATAAGGCCTTCGCAGCCTGTTGAAATTTTTCTTCATTTCTCCGTATATACATTGCCGAGTCTTGTTCAAGCTGCGCAATTTTGTCAGGGCGTATCTCTGCCATAGTTAACATTTCAGTTAAATAGGGATTAAACCTGAAGTAAACGTGTTCTGGTAAGAGGTCGTTTAACATTGTATGCACAGCTGTAAAACAATAAATTATTAATTTGTATAAACCACACTAATATTATTTCGAAAATGACAAATGAAATAATGGATTTTACCCTCAGTGTCAGTAGCACTATCTAGAATCTTGAAGAATTTCTCTTTCCAACTTGAGACACTAGTCACTTCTTTGATGTCATCGTTTCCAGTAATACTATATGGGGTCCTTCCAGTACCGAAGGAAACAACACATTGAATTGGAGTATTTGGCCACAGCTGTTTTGCCTCGTGTATTGCAATTGCACATGGATTATTTACCATAATTCCTAAAATAAATAAAATAATTCTGTGTATGAGTATTGAAACAAGTGCAGGATGGACAAATATCGCGATACAACTGAAAATATGGTGATTTCTCATGAAAAGTAAATCGGAACTGCAGAATAAATGTTTCTCAACGAGAAAGTGTATCGGGCATTTTAGTAATATTCGACTTGAGAGATATCGCTATAGACTTATTTTCTTCTGTATTTGTATATAATGACACGTAATTCAGGCGTTTGAAAAATTGAACTTGTGACCGACTTTTATTAGTCCGATAAAATAAAAGAATCAATAGATTTAATGATAAGATAAGTAGGAGAGCAAGGAGAGTTCTGGATCAAGATTCCTGCACCGACATATTACCGACCTCTGGGTTGGCGTCCGTGCTAAGTTATCGATGTTGGAGTCCCCTCTGGATAGTAAGTTAGGGCGGTTGGGCCCTGTATAAAAGATTTTTGCTTACCGACGCGTCGTGAGGCCCCGTTTTGGAAGATTTCTGCTTACCGACGCCTCCGGAATTTTGAATATTCTTGCTTACCGGCACCCTTCGCGAGTGACATGGAGATAGCGGGAGAGAAAGAGGGCGCGCGCACGAGTCGACGTCGCTGACCGTCTTCGATTTGACGTCATCGGAAGGGGGCTCTGGTTTTACGTCAGGTTTCAGGCGTTTTACGGCAAATTTCAGAAATTCTACGTCAGATTTCAGAAATATTACGTCAGGTATCAGGGATTTTACGGCAGATTTCAGAAATATTAGGTCAGATATCAAGAATTTTACGGCTGATTTCAGAAATTTTACATCAGATGTAATCGAGTACATTCTAGATCCTTCTATTGCAACCCCACCTCAGTCTCGTCCATGATACATTGACCTCACACGTGGAAGCGGTGGATTTCAAAGGAGATGATCGGAAACCCTTTGTACGGCAACCCTTTCATGAGGAATGACCCTTTGTATGTCACCGAAGAATTTCTATGACATTTCATCATCATCGTCATAACCCCCCTGTTCCTCCTACGCCTTCTTAGCCTCTATCGTTCCGCTACGATAAAGTCGCCTTGGAGAGACGGTAAAAATCAAAGGAGGTGTCAAATGACCCTTGTAAGTTACCGAAAAAATTGTTAACAATAATTTAATGTGCACTATTTATTCGAGAAGAATTGCGCATCGAGACGGTGGTGGATCTTTGATGCCAAAGAATATAGCAAGTTGTGCTACGATACACTGGCCTTGGAGAGACGGTAAAAATCAAAGGAGGTGTCAAATTACCCTTTGTACGTTACCGAAAAAAGCGTTGACAATAATTTAATGTGCACTATTTATTCGAGAAGAATTGCGCATCGAGACGGTGGTGGATCTTTGATGCCAAAGAATATAGCAAGTTGTGCTACGATACACTGGCCTTGGAGAGACGGTAAAAATCAAAGGAGGTGTCAAATTACCCTTTGTACGTTACCGAAAAAAGCGTTGACAATAATTTAATGTGCACTATTTCTTCGAGAGGAATTGCGCATCGAGACGGTGGATCTTTGATGCCAAAGAATATAGCAAGTTGTGCTACGATACACTGGCCTTGGAGAGACGGTAAAAATCAAAGGAGGTGTCAAATTACCCTTTGTACGTTACCGAAAAAAGCGTTGACAATAATTTAATGTGCACTATTTCTTCGAGAGGAATTGCGCATCGAGACGGCGGATCTCTGATGTCAAAGAATTTAGCAAACCTTTGTATAATGCCGAAATGTAAATCCATGAATTTTTTACTTAATTAAAATTCCTTCACACTCTTAAGGGGAGCATACTATTTAGACGGCCGAAAATGAGGCATTTTCATGAATTTTTTGAAGGTGATAAAATATTCGCATCATTTTGAAATTGTGGTATCATTTTATTTCATCTTTAAAGCATAGAAATTTTTTTTTTTTCGTTATGAAAGAAAATGGCGGCTTTGTGTCTTATTTGGGCAGGCGTGTTTTGCGTGACACCGAAAAGTGCTGCAGTTGTCACGTTCTTTGTAGTGATCTGAAACCAAAAAAAAAAATTATTTTTCGATTACTGACATGTAAAGGGGAAATACTAACCTAAAAAAACAATGAAAAAGTATAAAATTAAAAATTTGGTAGGCTGTTGAAAAAAATGTTCGAATTTTCGACCATTTTTTCGACAGTTTTTACCCCAAAAATATATTTTATTTTCGCGATATCTTTAAAACTTTAGGTTTGTCCTTCCGATAATATTATAGAGAACACCTCCCAAAAATACAGCCAGATCGACCAATAACTTTTTGAGTTACAACATGAGCAGTTTTTGAAAATGTAGTTGCGAGATAATCGCGTTTAAAGTTTCAGTACGATAAAACTATTAGTTTTAGTGACTTACCGATCAATCAGCAATTCCAGACGCATATAATAATCCTTCAGCCTCTTCGAAAAGCTGATTATCTTCTATTTGTTGCTGTTTTCTGGCTATACGAGCTGCTTTAGTTTCAGAAAGGCTCATCTTGTTCTGCCTCTGTCGCGCCTCATCGGTGTTTTCGGCGAAAACTTTCGAATAGGCGCCAACAATTATATCTAAATTATTAATAATTCTAAGAATTGAGGTGTAGCCTTCATTAAATATCCCAGCAGCAATATAGGCTGAGATTTCAATGATTTTTAACCCAGAATGCAAGTGCTTTCAGGATAATCGGCAAACTGTCGCGTTGAAACTTTCATTGGCATTCTGGGTATGGCCACCCGACCATCTTTCTAGTAAATCATCTTCATAAATTGGTAGGAGATGATGTTTAATCTCGTCGTCAAGTAATGGAGTAAGTTCTTCAAAGAATTATACAAAGATATTGTGAAAGACACGTTGTTCCACCCCAAGCGCTCCGGTTACCTGACTCGCCAGTTTACGGTATGCGGACCCCAGCGCTCTCGACTATGTGCAATAAATATTTAATATTTATATATTAATATAAATATTTAATATTTCGATTTGTCCTTTTTCCAGTACATTCTTAATATATTATACTTTCGAAATATGAAAAAAAAATCAATTTTTTGAAAATTCTAAATAGTATGCTCCTCTTAAGAAGAAGAGTGCCCTCTATATAAGGAAAAGCTCGGTGCTCTTTTATTAGTTTACTGTCACAGATCGTCGAGTTTGGAGATAGAACGTGAACTGAAAGTAAGAATAGATTTGAGAAGATTTAAGCCAGCCTGTGCGAAAATGGACTTCTCAAAAATTAACAACGTGGCGCGTCTGGAGGGTTTCCTGCCAACGAAAAAGTTATCAGAACTGGAGGTTGAAAAAGATTACAAGATTACCAGCATAAGGAAAATTCAAACGAAATTTGGAGCAAGACACATCGTTGACGTGGAAAATAGCTTCTCAGTATTCCTGCCAGCAAGGATCTCGAGGGTTCTGACGGACGATGAGGATTTTTTGAACGGATGGTTTTGGTAACCGCTGAGAATCGGCTTTGTATGCGTTATATCGGTGGGAAATTTAACCTCATCGAATTTCAATACTTGTAAACGTTCATACTCATGATTTAAATAAATAGATTGCCACATACATGACAAAAAAAATACAACTGCTTATTTCTTTCACACACACTTTATTCTTAATAAAAAAATATACATTCCATCATCCAAGTCCTTAACGATTTAACATTTTCCATCGCACAATTGAAATGCGGAGCATGGTGTTGCGTACATAGGGTAAGTGAATTTTTCTCAACTTTTGCAGCGAAGGGCAGCTCAGATCTCCCAAGTTCATGATGTTTAACGATTGCCCCATAAAATTCTCCAACCAATTTTTCTTTTCCAATCCTTTTACATCAATTTTGGTAGCATCTCGTAAAATGACTCGAAGAATATTTCTGGCTTGGTTGTAAGAGGTATCGCCAGAATTCCAAGAGATACCATGAAAGTTGCGTTGTAACCACTGTTGTGAATCCAAATACTGGATTCACGGATTTGACTACCAGAAAGGGTTTTCGGGAGTCACGTACTTTGGGATTCGTTGCCCGAGTAAAAAGTTGGAACTTAACTCTCGATAACAAGTATAAGATTTATTTGAAACAAAATAAGTTACGTTAGAATACACTATTAGAAATAAACCATAAACGTGGTGAGTACGAAATCATGAGGCTGGAGGTTAGTACTTCGACTCAGTTACCGTAGTAACAGTTCACTCGTAGCTCTCTTACTTCGTCTGACGCGCCGACAGGCCGTCCGCTTTTTATATTTTAATTATGGATTTTTTTAGAGACGCAATAACCAAAGGATTATTTTTATATTTGGCCATGGTGTCGGTGATGTGTTTCCTTTGTTTCCATAATATTAGCGGGTGGAATGTAGATACTCACGACGAGGATCAAAGTAGCCTTCATCAAACTTCGATGTTCAAGGAACCATAGTGGAACCGAGTTCAGCAATCAAGTATCTGGGTGTCTGGATAGACTCGAAGATGAACTTTAAAACGCACCTTGAGAAGGTCACTCAAAAAGCCGAGAAAACGCTCATTCCACTGTCTGGCTTAATGCCAAACATAGGCGGAGCTCGAGCTTCAAAAAGAAGGATGATGGCAAGTGTGGTGCACTCCCAGATCCTCTACGCCGCCCCCATCTGGTGTGAAAGAACCAAGAGGAAGGGTGTCGCAAAACTACTCACGAGAGTCCAACGGGAACATCGATCCGAATTGCTAGCGCGCACCGGACAATCTCTGCAGATGCAGTGGGCGTCATCGCAGGGATACCTCCCATTGACCTAATAGCACGTGAGAAAGCTCAAAGGTACAACAGAGAGGACCCAGCAAACGCCAGAGCAGAACTGCTCAGACGTTGGCAGGAAAGATGGGATAGTGGACAGCACAGTAGATGGACTCACAGTCTGATACCAAAGATCCGAGAGTGGATAGAAAGGCCGTATGGGGAAGTCGACTACTTCCTCACACAAGCCTTCTCCGGTGATGGCTGTTTTCGGAAGTATCTCTTTGAAAGAAAGAGAGCCGA